GATGGAACTGTCCAAATCCGCGTGGGCGACCAAGTCGTCGTCACCCGACGCAACGCCGAGAGGACAGTCTTTGACTGGGACATACCGGCTCCCGCCGCAAAGAAGACCGTTGCCGTTGCATAAAGGGTCCATATCCGCAGATCAGATTTCCTGATGTTCGTGGTTGCAGCCCACTTCCCATCCGCATCATTCTCCCCTCCCCACTTGGGCAGCCATCTTTTTGGTTTCCCACTTTTCCTGCTCTAGACTAGAATAGGTAACTTTCTTCACAAGACGGCCATAACACATGTCATTTCTCACGATTCCCACATGTCCAATAGGGGGAAGAGAAGGAAAAGAAAAAATACCGCGGGAAACAGGTAGTATTCTAGATGGAGTCAAGTCGTTGGCCGCACCGTTGGCTGCACCACGAACCAAGAAAAGGAAACCGGGCACACGAAGGGGGGGGGGGGGGGGGGGGGACTCACCGGCGGCGGGGTCGTCCCACACGCGGCTTCAACAGCGGGTGGGGGGGGGGGGGGAGGGGGGGGGGGAGGCGGGGCGGGCGGGGGGGGGAGGGAACAGGAGGGGGAGGAGGGAGGGGAGGGGGGGGGGGGGGGGGGGGGGGGGGGGGGAGACTATCACATGTGAGGTTGTCGCTACATACGGCATCATACCAGGTGGACGGGCGGGGGCAAGAGGCGGGAAGCAGAAGCAGAAAGTACAGAGGAAAAAAAAGGGCAGAATGCCGTGTTACCTATCTGAACCCCTCGCGCATCACGTCTTTTCCCGGCATAAACCCACCTTTTCATCCCGAACCCCCCTCTGCATCGTGAGAATATCCGTGTCATCATCTCCTGATCTCACGAAAATGATAACGCAACTAGGAAACACCGCGGCTCTCCCATTGCCTAAGGTAGAGAGCCCTTTTTGAGGATCGAGATGAGGATCGAGATAAGGGCCTCACCGCCCTTAACACATGCACAATAGGCCTTCAAGTCAAAGCACAATTCCCCCGCTAGGCCTTGCCAATAGATACCTCATCTACGGAGTAGGTGTCTATCTGTCCTTCCCTCTCTCTCATGGGCTGGAGTTGCCAATGACACCATCCCAATCCCAAGTTTCATATGCCCGTTACCTTTGTGTAACCCGAGAAGAAGCGCCACTCACTCACCCATTTCGGCGTCAAGTACCATGGGTGATTGGGGAGAAGAAATAAAGCGGGGAAAACACACAAATTTATACCCACCAGGGTGCTTGCTCCGTCTTCTGATACCCCAGATGCCCAGAGCGAATTGATTAATAAACCACAAAAAGGGGAAGACGATGTGTGTGTGTGTGCGTGGGAATAGCGGTGCATCTCGCTGGAACTGGCACCCAGCGGATAAACATAACGATACTGACAAAAAACATCGAGAGATTCGGCGAGGCTTCCCGCGAACCTCCCCCCCCCCCCCCCCCCCCCCCAACACCACACCCCAAATCCCCTCTTCCCCTCCCCCCCCCCCCCCCCCCGCCCCCCCCCCCCACCCCCCCCCGCCCCCCCCCCCCCCCCCCCCCCCGCCCCCCCCCCCCCCCCCCCCCCCCCCCAGAACAAGAGCAAACTTTCCTAATTCCTTACTGTCTATCCCATGCCCTGCCGGCCGGCAAGGCGGGCAACAACGGCCCAGCCAGCCAGCCCCGCGCGTAACCTGGCCCCCTTGTTCCCCGGTCCTCCCGTTTGATAATGTGTGCCGCGCGGGCGCCGGCGCGATGGGAATTCCTCGACCGTTCAAGAAAGTACATAACATTGAAAGGGCAGACAGAAAGATGATTGGGAGGGGGGGGGGGGGGGCTGGCGGGAAAGGGTTAAAGCTTGAGGAGGGGGACAGCTAAGATAATTCCCCCGATCTTCGCAGCGATTGTGTGTGTGGTGCGTGTGTGTGTGATGTGCAGGTAAGGTATCTATCCGCACCCATCCCCATGCCGGTCGAAACTCACTCGAGTCGATCATTTCATGGTCCTTTTTCTGCCCGCTCTCCTAGGTACATGTTTGAGTTGGGTATCTACCGCATATCTGCCCAGCCCGTGAGCTCTCAAAGTTCATCACCATCTCGTCATACCTTCCATTGCCGCATCTTATTTGCATCTCGGCTTGAGAAAAAAAAAAAAGCCTGGCGCAGCACTACTGGGAACATCAGGTTTATGGAAAAGCAAAAAAAAAAAAAAAAAAAAAAAAAAAAAAAAAAAAAGGGCATAAACAACAATAGCAATCTTCACCGAGAACGATCGACACATCTAGTCTAGTCTCGCGAACCCATCCATCCCGCGCCAGAGCCTCATTTACCTTTCTCACTACACCATCATACGTCGTCACAAAAAAAAGCGCCTACTTACATGTTCCTCGACCAATCATCATCACAAGCCACCCATCACAATAACTCGCCCAATCCCATCACACACACGCCCGTCGTCGAATTCGTCGGCGTAAATCAGCCAAGGTTACTCCGGGGTCTAGTCCGGTCTAGTCCACCTTGGTCTGAACGACGACCACCACTCTTAACTCTCACTCTGCCTTGTCACGCAACTGCAGCACTACTCGTCTTGTAAAGTTTTCCTGGGGGCACATTTGACCCCGACTGCCTAGTTGCACCGAAAAGGATTTTCCCAGCGCAAGCCTTCGCGTGAACCTTCGCCTGTTGCGAAATTCAAGACAATGATAACGAGAAGAGATGAGGGGGGAAATGAGGGCCGTTCTTGGGAAGACTACCAAGAACGACACGACAGACTTCACCGAGAAACACTTCGGAGAAATATGGAATGCAGGCAACCGGCCGGCCCTTTCCTGTCAAATGCAGTCGTACAAGTCGTCAGTGCCAGTGTCATACCATGCCATGTGTGCCTGTACGCATGTATGTATGTATGTATGTATGTATGTATATCAATGCCATGCCGAGGTCGTGCCATGCTCTACCCGAACAACATCATCTTGTACAACCACAAAAAAAAAATTCCCCGGATCTACATTTTGTGTAACCTAAACACAACAAAAATACAGCCTTGAATCCCAGACTTGGATAAAACCACATCTCCGAATCGTGACGCACAAATGTCTCTTCACCGACTTCTTCCCGTTGAAGAAAGATCAAGGAAATTCGAGTCGAGACGAGGCGGCATGGTTACACACGCATCGCGCCATATGGTTCTTCACCGGTGACCGGCATCCTCGGGCCATGGGTGACACCGAGTGAGCGCTTCATCGGCATCCGAACGACGTACGTCCCTTTCAAACCAAAAAAGGTATCCCGCCCACATACCGAAAGGTGTCCAACGTCCCCCAGACTCACAGAGTCACAGGTGACATGACATGGCAGATTCTGAATGACACAAGGGCGGGCGCAGCGACCATGGTATGATGGCTAGACATACATTAGGGTTTTGGTTCTTTTATATTAGTGCTTGGCACCTTCTTGGTCTTTCCTGCATCATGGCACACGTAGAAGTTCCATGGTTCTTCAGACCCGGACAAGCGCTACCTATAGATTCGCTTGACCAACCGGACGCGATACCGTTCTGACCTGGTAGCATCATAGTCATACGCGAAACCGAAGCGCAAGGGGTTCGATGTGGTGCAGAGACTCCTTGAACAACACTCAGCATGATAACTGACCAAAAGGCAAGAGCGTAGCGTGAGGAAATAGAAGTATTCTGCGTCAGGAGGTAAAAAGAAAGAAAACTCGAAATTGACAAATAACCGCCGTTCCAGTCCATCAGCCTTGCGTGCTGTTGTGACGTGATCTAAGCCCATATTTTTTCTTCTGTTTGCCATGCTCCGTGAACCATTCCCAAAAGACCCGAAATCTATTGTTAGAGAAAGAAACCGTTCCTTCTCGCTAGTACCACTACCAACATTTGTCGTGCTCCCTCGCTCGCCCCCTCGCCTTACTTGCTCCTGCCCCGCCAACTTTGGCGTTTTGCCCAAAGGAAGAGAGAAAAGGAAATAACCAGGTCGTTGTTTGCCGTAGAAAAGGGGTATTGGGCATTGCGCGGCCGAAAAACTCCGTTACGTATTGATCAAAAGCGTGAAATGAAATGGAGACGGGCGATGGGCGCGTCTTCTTGCGGTCGAATCAAGGAGCTAACCGGCCGGAGCGTCGGCGAGCGAACGAGCTGTGGATGGATGATTCCTCCCTGCCGATTTAGGCTCAGTGCCTGATGGTTCCAGATTGTGACCGGGAAAGGTGCCGTCGCATCATTCCCGTCTTCAGCCAGGTACGGAAACTCGAGGGCATCATCGCACAGGGGCTCAGCTGTTGACACAGGCGCTAGGGCGTGACCCCCCTGTGGACGGGATACGCTCCCCGCCGGGACCGTTAAGCTGCAGCCAGCTGCAGAGGTGCCTGAGCCAGAGGGTCCCACGTGCGCCATGCAGCACCGAAATTCGGCACCACTGAGCTAAACCAGAGTTAAGACCGAGGACCCTGCCGCGACGGCAGGGGGGGCGGACCTGGTCCTGTCTGGGTGGTGTAATCGGCGTGCCTTCAAAACGTCCGGGGAGGGTTGCAAACAGAATGATTGAAAAAACTCAAAAATCGAAAACGGAAAGAGTTGCATGGCTTTTTTCGTGTCGACGGCCGCCGCCAAAAGTGAAGGAATCAAAGGGGGAGAACCCCGCGAAGAGGTATCCGATGTTGTCCGATCCGAAAAAAACCTGACTGTCATCGATCGCCAGGGCATTTCTCAAGCTCATGCGCGTGGTATTGCGTGTTTGGTGGTGCATCGCTGTCGGGATGAACCAATATAGTCCTGCAGCGTCTGAAGGTCTCAAAAGGGGGCCCTAGGCTTGTGTTAGTAGGTGACATCCATCAATTGCAAGATGACACAGTTTGCAACTGCCGTGCCGCATTGTCCACCGACGGGTATTTCCATCTGGAAACCTCGTAGGTAATGAAACAAGAGAGGGCAATGAGATCGGGGATCGGATAGGGCGAGACATTTGTGTCTGGGTGGTGACGGAAGGGAGTTTGCGTCATCAGAAGCAACTAACATGTAGCTGGATTTCGAACGAGGTGACTTGCTCGAGGTGAGCAGCAGTGTGTCTTTGTGAACATACCTCGAGTGCATCCAATGCCAAACCCCCACGTTGCCGGCATGCCTCCATCTTGCGTCCCCTCACGGTGAGCACCATCTTTCCCGCAGTCGGTCGTCTGGGGTGCTCAGTAACGGCGCCGACAAACGCTGCACCTCAGGCGCTTTGAGTGCAGGGCCGGCAGGTGTGTAGCTTGCAATACCGGCACTCAAAGATACTCCAGTGGGGTCCAGAATGGCATAGGTTGCAGGTCCATTGGATCAAAGTGCTGTCCGACTTGATCATTTTGAACGAGTGGGCGCAGGGGCCCGCGACGGCCATCTTGAATCGAAAGCAGCTGGAAGGCCTGGGAAGCTTAGGGTCTTAAAGGTTGTGTCTGGAAGGACCCGGACGTGCTGGAAGCGCTGTGCGTCGTGCGCGCGATGTCCTGAACCGCGTGGTTTTTGGTGCCGGCGCTGCTGTCGGAGTAGTTGGTTGGCCCTGAAGATCGAAAGTAACGTTCGCTAAAAGCTTTCGATTTTGGCCCTCTGGGAGAGAAGCCTAACGGTTCGGTGGCAGAACGACGGTCAAGCTTTTCCTGGTCTTTTCTTCTTCTTCTCTCTTGGATCTGTGAAACTGTATTAGCAATGGAATAGACTAATTTATGATCATTATTTCGGTAGGTGATGCCGCCGTCTTAAACATGATGTGAAGGCTTGCAGGCGGGTAGTTGGAACTCACATGAGAGAGAGAGGCCAAACGTTGATGTGATGTTGACGAGCAAGGGGGTGGGTGTTAAATCAAAGTGTCTGAGTTGAAGAACTGAGTCAACTCGGAGTGTTTGGAGAGGATGCTAAACGAAGCGGGTGGAGTGTGGGAAGGGAGAAAGAAAGAAGTCGGAACCATTAAGGATTCAAGAGGAATCCAAGAACACAGGAGGATGTGGTTCTTGTTTAAGAAAAAGGTGAAAGAAGGTTTGCCGGTCGGTGGTGGGTGCTATTGATGGCATGGATGTGATGGGTAAGGATGAGGGCGCGAATGAAGGAAGTGCGGGTGCAAGTGCAAGTGCAACTACCGCGAGGCAAGTGCAGTTGCAAAGTGAATCTCAAGATGAGCGAGGTATCCGTGTCCGTAAGGTCAGGTATTAAGTTAGGCCGCCCAAGGTAGAAAGAACTTCCAGGGAAGGTGAGGCCGGGTGAGGGCGAGGGCGAGTGTGAGGGTTAGAATGATGTGCCCCACGCCAAAGTGTCAAGGAAGGTACGGGATGGTCCGAGGGTTTTGGGCAGGAAAGAACGGCAGCAGGGAAGGGGCCATATAATGTCAAGGAATGTCGAGTAAGGAAGTCGCGCCGACATGGTCAGGAAAAAGGAGGAAGAAATGAAGCATATGCGCTTGCACGAGAGAAGTGGGAAATAGAGGATAGGAAAAAAACTAACAAACTTTAGGAGCTTCCAAAAACCGAGGCAATCAAGCTGCCTTTGGTCAAGGTGAGGTAGGTAGGTCGGTAGGTACCTTGGGTTGAGTACAAAGGTGAGATAGCTTAGTATTGTATGGCAAGGTACCTTGTGGTAGGTAGGTGCTGCTCGGTACGGCAGAGAAAGGCCAGTGCCGGATGTGATGATGTATGTGTGCTTTGACAGCAAAGCTTGGTGGTTTCTTCTTCTCACAAATAGCCAATGCAAGCCAGGAAAAGTCAGCAATGGCAATGGACGCCCAAGGCAATTGCCGTTGGCTAATGCTGTGTGACTGGTCGAGCAGCGAAATGAGGGAAAAAGGTCGACTGAGATGAAGGTGAAGTGAGATGACTAGCAAGCGGGTGTGAGGTGTAATGACGATAAAAAATAAATAAAAATAAAGATAAAAGTGCTGCCGAGAGCCAATGCAGTAAGTAGCTTGAGCTTGAGCTTGGGGTGTAGGCACGGAGTAATAGAGCCCTTTGGTTTTTTTTTTCTGCTCTCGATCGACTTCCGGCCAGTGGTCCTCAAGCAACCCTTATATGGATGGACCATGGTCCCACGGACGGAAAATCGTCTGATTGCAATGCAACAGAGAGGGCTAGGTATTCCTCGACAATCGCAGCTTGTATAAACTCTAAGCATTGGTATTACCGCATGTCCCGTTCTTCGGCAGAATTCTGAGGTGCTGTTTGTTGCTGACCGTCCCTGTCCGCCCGGACCCAGCCCGTCCCAAGGTTCACAGCGGGAGCGTCGGATTGGACATTGGATTGCCCTGTCCCCGTTTCCACTCCTGGTCCGTGTTGTCGTCTGTCCGTGCCGGTATTATAGAGGATGCACAACACGGTACTGGTAGGGCTGCCAGACTTTTGGCTGGCTCTGGCCGGTGCCTCTGGAAAGTCTAGTTGACATTGCCGTGATTCTGTGACGGGAAAAGGACGTAACGAATCCCGGCGGCGGGAAGCTAAGCATACACTCCGTACCAGTCGTAAGGTAGTAAACTCTTTCTTTTTCGAATTAGAGCCCGATCATAATCCAGTATGACAGCAGTAAGGGACTAATAAGGTACGAACACAGCTCTGGAAGCATACCTAGTCCATGAGTCCCGGTTTCCGATGCTCACGCAGCCACTGACGGGATATGCCTTGCAGTTCAGACTTTAGAGGCGCCTGCGCTAGGTTGGAGAAGCTCGACTTGTGGTGCCCTGCACGGTACCACAAGGTACCGCTGTCATTCCTCCCCAATTGTACCTTACCATAGCATGGATCTGGAATAGGTTGAACTTTCTGAGTGAGCTGAGCTATGTACCGCAGTAGCCGGACGTGGCATCGTTACAGCACCGAGACAGACTCATCACATCTATGGTGCCCTCTCTGTCCTTGACAGGTACCTACCTGCCAACGGTTAACCGACCCAACGATGCCGCTTTCTCGGCCCTACCGCTTTTCCCATCTCGTTTGTTCGAGCCGGGAGCACGACGTCTTTACATGGATGCCATGTCAAAACGTCTCCCGTCATCATGGCCCGGCCCGTTTCTGTTCGTCTGCACTTGGGGCCTGATGATAGACCAAGGTACTTCTTCAGTACTTTGCCCGAGAAAGACAAGACGGGCGCTACCCACCCATGGTCGCATGTCATGTCTTGTATCGCCTAAGGCTAAGGTAGAAAAAGGGCTTCCGCATTCCTAGTTGCCCATCTGCCATGCGTGCCATGCCCCTTGGGTACGCAGTGAGGTCTTGTCCGTAATGACGACAAACCATAATGATGCTTGCTAGTGCAACAGACGGTCGAATGCCGTCGCCCCTTCTTGCATACCTTGCCGTGTCTCGCCACCGTTAATGGCCAACGGCCATCGTGCGGAGCGGCAGCAAGGGATTTGACAGACAGGACCCATCAAAATGATACCTTTTGGTTGTGACTTGATCATGATGTATGGGCCGTTCCTTCGCATTGCACAATGCCTCGTGGCACATCACTACCGCTTCCACGGGAGTATTTTGTCTCTTCCGCTTTTCCCCCCATTCGCGACAAGGATAGTTGTATTGTTGTCGACCACGCTGGCTGATCTTGAGTCGTCTCGTGGGAATCCGAGCTAGAGGTCGTCATATTGCCTGGCTGTGCTCCTTTCGTCTTGGTTGCAATCAAATCTGATCCGAGCAAAACCGCCGCGTACTTGTTTTACCACGCCCGGCACCCAGGTTTTCGGACTGTTCCATTCAAAGTAATTGATCTGGTTCCCCGTTTCCAGCTGCCTTCTACGGACAACTTCGATATCGATCTGCATCTCAAGCTGCAAGCCAATAAATCTTCCAACTTCATGTAGCTCGGCTACCGTGCTCTGGGAGCTTGGGACTGTCCCCGTGCGTGGTGTACCTTGTCGTGTAAATTCAAGGCCCCTGCGCCTGACAGGTTGAGCCTCTGTGGCCCCGGGATCTCCTCCGGCAGGCTAAATTTGGTCATCATTGGGAGGGTGGGGCTTGATGAAATGTTTCTGTTTGACTTCAAAGGGAACCTGATCCGGCCACAAGGTTCCGTGGCGCAGGGCCCAGAGTTCTGACATGTAACAACCACGACCCAAAGCCAATGCGTCCCATGCGGTTGACATTTGCTGGCGGAAAAGGAGAGCAATCAACCTGTGCAGGGTATGACATGAACCAAGAATAACAGCAAATGCTCTCTCAGGTAGAGAGACGGCAGGGCGTCCAGCTCCGGCTCCCGAGTTGGTCGTCCGATTGGCTCGTTCTGCTGACGATACCATGCACGGAGCTATGTACTTGGTATCCGTAAAGGCCACTCTGGGGTCGGCAGTGGATCGGATACAGTACGACCGGGCCTCCGGATGCACCGTCCTGTCTAGAGCACCAAGTCTGAAAGTCTTTTGCGGGCATGCGTGGTGGCAGAACGGTCGACAGGGCCGGGATATGGAGAACCCATGACTTCACCACGAACACTTTCAAGGTCCAGGCCTCGTTGGAGAGCGAAAGAGGCCTGTCTGCTCGAGTGCCAATGTAACGACGTAGGTTTCCGGGCTTAAGTCTAGGCTGTATGGGCTGTTATGGCTATGGTGCGGCCTAGGTCGCAACCTTCCTTGGTGAAGATAGACTGCTTGTTGCATGGGCAGATTATCTCCAGCCTAGAGCGGTACATTTGCAGCTAAGCGGCCAAATGCGAAGATCCTTTTCGATCCGGTTGCTCGCTGTGTCTTTCCGCCACGAATCTCTCCGTGCGGCTCGGAACTCTCCCAGACAGGGCGAGTGGGTTGGGTTTGGCCATGTGTGGGGGAACGCCCCAGAAAATCATTGCAGTTTCTGGTGTCCTGTCGGGAAAAAAGCGGCATTCTGTTGCGACGAAAGCAGCATGCTTCGTACGGATAGTTGGGCAAGGAGAGAGAACCTAACCACACAGATTAAGCGACCGACAAGCGCATCGATGCCGCATGTACTTTTGCAACGCCTATCTTCTCGAGCAGAAATTGCCGTGGCCAAGCGACTGATTCTTGTTCTCCGAGATGCTGCGCGCGTATCATGAGGTGGTACTTAATATCCTCAAGTTAAGGGCAAGGAAAAAGGTTGCAAATGTGGCAGTCGAGTCTTGTCCGCATCGAGGCAAACCCGCAGGACCTTTGCAGGGGATCAGCTCGTGGCCACTGGCTGGGTCGACCATGCATTGCGTGGCAGATCTCTTCTGCTCTCCCTTCTCTTCTTCTCCCACCTTGGCTTGTACCCACTGAGACCAGATTACCTGCATCCACTGCCCAGAAGCACCCATGGCGGGGAAAATCCTTTTGTGCCCCCAATGGGAAGCCGGCCTGGGGGGCATCCAAATCTTTCATCGAATGTTCTTTGGAAGCGCAAGGCGAACGAGGCTTTAGCTTGAACGATGGGCTGG